AACCTAACAAGATTTTACTTATTATCCCACTCACACTACACATTCTGTCTTCTCTAATCCTCTTTTGATACATGTCAAAATAGAACATAAGTGGTAAAGCTTGGTCTACACTTGGAAGAGAATGAGGAAGGAATTAGGTAACAGCTGTAACATCTCAGATACATGTGAAAAGTTTAAGTGTTTCTTTATGTGGGCAGGACAAAGTGTTACTTCCTAAAAACAGAAAATTAGCAACACTGAACAGAAGACCCACAGCTTAGGCTTTTTCTTGCTTGGCTGATTTTCTATTTGTAAGAAGCTATCAAGTGTAACAGGCCATTGTATTAACTTTCAGCTCTGTATATAAATCAGACAAAAAAGAGGCATCACAATTTGAGTGCCACTTCAATTTATATGTAGGAGAATTGGGTTGCTGTAAGTTTTCCGAGTTGTATGACCCAAGTTCCAGAAGCATTTGCTCCTGACATTTCACCTGCATCTATGGCAAAACATCAGGAAAGAATGCTTCTGGAACATGGCCATACAGCCCAGAAATCTTACAGCAACCCATTGATTCCAGACATGAAAGCCTTCGACAATACAGTAGAAGAATTCCATTTCTAAATGTTACCTCATGGAGTCTCCAGTAAACAGGAAACTAACACATAATCAGAAGAAGTACTAAGTGCTACTTTCCCTCAGGTGCTGTCTTATATTCAAAGAGATGCCTACATTCAAAGCTTAGCACACCGCTAACCAGAGTGGGGTAGCTATTCCAGGCTATATGCTCTTGGTATACTACTAACTTCAATGCTGGACTAGGTACAATAATTTTTGATTTGGCTAAACAAAGGTTATCATTTGATGTCTTGGATCTGCCCTGGATAGCATACTTCATGCTTCTACCACATCATGTAGCAAAAGTGTATAGAATGAATTCCAAGAGTGCAAGTAGGCAGGGTATGATGCTCAACTACCAGCAGAATAATTTTTATCAATTGCAATACCTTCACATCCCTTCATTACTACATCCACTTAGTCCATTGATTTCTTCTACTGCTTCTTTCACAGAAGACTAATAAATATTTTGAACTTTAGACTGAAAGCTTTAGACTGAAAGCATCTGCCTGGCGACAGGAAAGCACATATAATAACAATTCAGTCTTTTCCAGAAGGAAATTACAACAAAACTACATTTGGAATGAACTGGGAAATAATTCAACTACATACACTTGAAAAAGCTTCTGTACACCGAAGTCACTGGCACAACTGAGGTGTAAATCACAGTGGATAAGAACTGTGGCATTTAAGTGGATCTTCGGATGATTCAAGGATTGTCAAAGCTTTAAAAACTATTATAGAGTCCCTCCAGCAAAGAGAAAATGCTTTAAACTCAATTGTGCTTTTGGATGATAAACTTGATTCTGTATTTGTTTTGGGTTTTTTGTTCCCACAAGGGAAGAGATGGAATTTTAGACTGTAAAGCTATCCCAAAGTACGGTTTCTCAACATATTAGACTTGATTAGCTAAGATAGATCAACAGTAAGTGTTACAATCTTACAAGCACTCTTTACTTGGATCGCCTCCTCCTTTCTTCACAGACAAAGCTATGCCCCAGATTGTGTCAAGCTCCACTCATCTACTGCCAGCTCAGAAGAACAGGAAACAATGATCACTCAGGTGAAAGACACAAATTGAATGACCTGATGAAAACTGTGCATACTACACAGCTAAGCTGAATGATGGAAAATATTCATGTCATAAAGATACAAAAAAAAAAGTCTGCCCAATTTAAGAGTCTCAAACCTCAGCCTCTTCCCAGACAAATACTAATCCTCAGATATGAAGTCCTCACAGCAAGATTATAAAGTCGCCATACCAAGAAAAAAATAGCATAGGGCACATCACCATTACAAGGTATCCGAGTGCTGTAAAACAAAGTAAGCCATCTGCTTCACCAATTTATAACACCTTTGGACAGTACTAGAGATTTAGACTTTTATATTCAACAGAAAGTCCCATGGAACTCAAATGGTTTCCCTGTTAAATAGATGACTAGATGCAGGACTGCAGCTCATGCAATGCCGCTAGAACCAAGAATGGGTCGAATAGAGATCACAAAAAATAATGAGTTTTGTGTACATTTAGTATCCCTTATCCAAAATTCCAAAATACTCAAAATCCAAAATTATCTACCTGGATGGCTGAGATAATGACAGCTTTGCTTTCTGCTAGTTTGATGTACACAAACTTGGTTTCATGAACAAAGTTATATAAAAATATTGTATTAAATTACCTTCAGGGCATGTGTATGAGGTGTATATGAACCATCAGGGAATTTCATGTTTAGACTTGGATCTGCTCTCGAAGGTATCTCATTATGTACATATATTCAAATACAGATATTCCAAAACCAACACACACACACACACAAATACACATATATTCAAAATACTTCTCATCCCAAGCATTCCAGATAAGGGAGACAACCAATATCAAGATGTCTTGTTCAGACAATATAGGAGACACAAAGGAAAGCACATAAGTGAGTCTTTGTTACATCTATCCCAAGGTGTCCCAGACAAAAGATACATCCATTCAGAAGCGCAGGCTGGAGTGAAAGAGATAAAAAATATTACCTCGCCTGAGATACCTGCAAAAAGAAACCCTAGACAAGAGGGAATGAAGAAATGCAGAGGGAAAATAAACTGAAGCTGCCTGTGGAGTGGTGGCTTCACTGAATGCAAAGAACTCCATACACACAGTATCTCTCTAAAATACATTGCAGGATTTCAGGAATGCCAGCAGAAGGGAGAATGAGTTGAAAAGAGATCAAGAAAAAAATGAATTTTGAACATGTTGAGATTATTATTATTATTATTATTATTATTATTATTATTAGTTTACTGTTATTATTGTGCATTATTTTGTATTTTTCCTAGTGTGGTTTGTACTTCTTAAGGCACTGAATGTTTGCCTATCTCTGTATGTAAACGGCCCTGAGTCCCGCTGAGAGCGAGGGTGATCTCAAAATAAAGTTTTATTATTGTTATTGTATTGTTGAAGGCTTTCATGGCTGGAATCACTAGGTTGCTATGAGTTTTCTGGGCTGTATGGCAATGTTCCAGAAGCATTCTCTCCTGACATTTCACCTGCATCTATGGCAGGCATTCTTACAACCTCTGAGGATGACTACCGTAGATGCAGGTGAAATGTCAGGAGAAAATGCTTCTGGAACATGGCCATACAACCTGCTGTTGTCATTGTTGATATTGTTATAGTTTCCTATCAAGAGTCTCAAAATCTATAATACCCCAAAACTGTCTACATGGGAGACTGAGATAGTGACACTTTTGCTTCCTAATGGTTTGGGGTTTCATTAAAAACACTGTACAACATTACCTCCAGGCTATGTATGCAAGATGCATATGAAACATAAATGAATGGATGTAGACCTGAGTGTCATCTCCACAGTATCTCATACCATGCATACAAAGAAGAGCTATTCCACAACTTCTCTCACACACAAAGGGTGGCACAACCTGTAACGAGATGAGTTGCAGTGAGTTTTCCGAACTATATGGCCATGTTCCAGAAGCATTCTCTCCTGACATTTTGCCCACATCTATGGCAGGCATCCTCAGAGGATGTGAGGTCCTGGAGAGAATGCTTCTGGAACATGGCCATACAGCCCGGAAAACTCACCGCAACCCAGTGATTCCCGGCATGAAAGCCTTCAACAACACATTGCCCTCTTTCCTTGTCCAACAAAGGATTTTCCCCAAGCAGCTGCCAGTCAGGGTTTGAAGCTACAAGGCCATTCAATGCTAATCAAGGTGGCCATTTGCAACATTCACACTTGCCTCCAACAGACAAGAGTTCTTTCTCCCACCCTGGACATTCCACAGATATATAAACCTCTCTTGCCTAGTTTCCAAAAAACCTCACAAAGTCTGAGGATGCCTGCCATAGATGTGGGCAAAACGTCAGGAGAGAATGCTTCTAGAACATGGTCATACAGCCTGGAAAACTCACAACAACCCTGCCATGAGACTACCTTTTGCAATCCTGGAGTTTTTGCAATCTATGGCAGGCATCCTCAGAGGTTGTTGGGTCTGTTGACAACCTCTGAGGATGCCTGCCATAGATGTGGGCAAAACGTCAGGAGAGAATGCTTCTGGAATATGGCCATACAGCACGGAAAACTCACAACCCTGCCATAAGACTATCTTTTGCAATCCTGGGGTTTTTTGCAATCTATGGCAGGCATCCCCTGAGGTTGTGGGGTCTGTTGACAACCTCTGAGGATGCCTGCCATAGATGTGGATGAAACGTTAGGAGAGAATGCTTCTGGAACATGGCCATACATCATGGAAAACTCACAGATTCCGGCCACGGAAGCCTTCAACATCACATTGTAACAAGATGTCTTGTTGGGACACAAAGGGAGGCAGACATGGTGTCTTTGTTGCCACATTCGCCTCCCAAGGTGTCCCAGCAAAACAGGATGCAAGCCTTCAAAAGTATCGTCAGAAGTGCAGTTTAGAGTCAGGAGGGGAAAAAAATAATAACCTCGCTTGAGATTCCTTCAGAAAGAAATCCTAGATAAGAAGGAGGAAGGGAAAAAAGATTTTTGGGAGGAAAGAAAGAAGTCTGGAAAGAAGACTGGAATGGGAAGCTTCACGTTTGAATGCAAAGAACCTCCATACAGCACATGCAATATATTTTTGGAGACATAAAATACAAAGCCCAAGAGAGGTGTATTTGCAGACAAAAGTATCTATAATATGGTCAGAAAGACAACAAGAGTGATGATGAGGGAAAGGCGTAGAAGGGAAGAAGAAGAAGAAGTCAGGGAAAGAAACTGGCTTCACGTCTGAAAGCAAAGAAGCCCATAGACTAGGTCTGTATCGCCCCAAGATAAGAATTCCCCGTCTATTTTGGAGGCACCTTCGCGGGGAAAGTGTCAGCCAGGCTCGCTAAGGAAGAGAAGCCGGCGGCAATGGGCACAGTTCCCTACCTGGTCCGCCGCTGCCAACGCCGCGCGACTCCCCCGCCGCTTCCTCCTCTCTCCCGACGCGCTGGTTCCTCTTGCTGATAATGCCCCGTCTTCTAATTTAAATGACTCCGCCTCTTCTTCGCTCCCATTGGCTGCCCTCGAAGGTTCTCAGGCAGCGCCCTCTGTCGGCCTGCGGGGGAGGCCCGCGAGGGCAACTGCGCCTGCGCAAACTCGGCCGTTCTCATTCCTTTTCTCTCTTTCTTTCTCTCTCTCGCTCCCTCCTCCCCCGCCCCTTCCGTAGGGAGTGCGTGCGTGTTCTGAGCGAACCCAAAGCCAAAGCGGCTTTTTCACTTAGGAGGAGTGTTCTTGCCCAAGGGCTCCGCGCGGGCACACGGACCCCGAGGCGAAGGTTCCTCCTGCTTGGCTCGGAGGCTTCCTCAAGGAAGCTAGGAAGAGGAGGGGGATCTAAAATGTTCGAGAGTCCAAAATTGTTGGGTGAGGGAGTGGCCCCCTCTTCACTGTTTGAAATTACAAAGGCAAACTTTGTCCCTCCAGGTGTTTTGCACTTCGAAGCATAGGAGAAGTATAACTATGTGAGAGGAAGCCACAGGGAGGAGGGAGCAAGCTTGTTTTCTGCTTCCCTGGAGACTAGGACGCAATGGAACAATGGCTTCAAACTACAAGAGAGGAGATTCCATCTGAACATTAGGAAGAACTTCCTGACTGTGAGAGCCGTTCAGTGGTCCACGCTCTCGTTACATCCCAAATAGATTACTGCAACGCACTCTGCGTGGGGTTGCCTTTGAAGACTGTTCGGAAACTTCAATTAGTCCAGCGGGCGGCAGGCCAGATTACTCATTGGAGCGTCATACAGGGAGCATACCACCCCTCTGTTATGTCAGCTCCACTGGCTGCCGATCCCGCCTGCGTCACAGGCACGGCTGGCGGGGACGAGAGATAGGGCCTTCTCGGTGGTGGCGCCTCGGCTGTGGAACACCCTTCCCATGGACATCAGGCTAGCTCCCTCCCTGTTGATATTCCGCAGGAAGTTAAAGACCTGGATGTTTAAGAAGGCATTTGAACAAGAAGTGCAATGATTGGTAATTTGACCATAGGAATGGAACAACGGAAATGATACCGGATTGTGGGACTGATGATGAGACGACACGGAATGGCTTTGTAGAATTTGGATGTTTTGATGAGATGTTTTTTGATAATGATGTATTGTGGATTATTTTACACTATGTTTTGTATTTTGCACCTGTTTCTTTTTTCTATGTTGTACACCGCAGTGAGTCGCCCTAAAGGGCTGAGAATTGCGGTATATAAGCGAAGTAAATAAATAAATAAATAAATAAATTCAAAGTGCTGGTCTTGACCTACAAAACCCTATACGGCTCCGGTCCAGCGTATCTGTCCAAACGCATCTCCCTCTATGTCCCACCTCGGAATTTGAGATCATCTGGGGAGCCCCTGCTCTCGACCCCACCTCTATCACAAGTGAGACTGGTGGGGACGAGGAGCAAGGCCTTCTCGGTGGTGGCCCCTCACCTGTGGAACTCACTCCCTGGGGAAATTAGATCATCAACATCCCTCCTCTCCTTTAGAAGGAAATTAAAAACGTGGTTATGGGACCAGGCCTTTGGGAAATCTGGCAGTTAAGGAAAATGGACGACTGGAATTGACAGGACTGACAATGTGGAATTGAAACTATGGACTATGAGACGGTGAACGCTGAGTGTTAAACTGGTTTATTGACGTGTTGTAGAACTGAGAATCGACTGTTTAATTGTTTTTAACTGTTTGATTGCAGCTATATTGTTTTATTTTATTGTTGTATTGTTGTATTGATGCCGGCATCGAATTGTGCCTTTGTAAGCCGCTCTGAGTCCCCCTCGGGGTGACAGTCAGGAAGTTTTTCCTCAAGTTCAGCAGTGGAACTCTCTGCCCCGGAGTGTGGTGGAGGCTCCTTCTTTGGAAGCTTTTAAACAGAGGCTGGATGGCCATCTATCAGGGGTGATTTGAATGCAATATTCCTGCTTCTTGGCAGGGGGTTGGACTGGATGGCCCATGAGGTCTCTTCCAACTCTTTGATTCTATGATTCTATGATCATGCCCAAATGTGACATCGAGAAAACCAAAGTGCTATTCCAGCAGTCACCAGCCAATCCCCCTCCAATGCCAGAAAGACAGCTTAATGGTGTAACATTAGAAAATGTTGACCATTTCCGCTACCTTGGCAGCCACCTCTCCACAAAAGTCAACATTGACACTGAAATACAACACCACCTGAGCTCTCCGAGTGCAGCATTTTTCCGAATGTAGCACAGTATTAAAAAAACTCTAAAATTGCAACAGCAAAACAGAGAGGAAACAAACAAGGACATCTCATCACCTCTCAACAAAAGTTGGCTCCAGGCACTGTCAGGCCATCAAATGATAATCAAGGTGGTCAGTTGAAACATTCACACCTAGCTCCAGCAGACAAGAGTCCTTTGTCCCACCCTGGTCATTCCACAGATATATAAACCCTTTTTCCTAGTTCCAACAAACCTCACTACCTCTGAGGATGCTTGCCATAGATGCAGGCAAAACGTCAGGAGAGAATGCCTCTAGACCATGGCCATATAGCCCGAAAAAACCTACAACAACCCAGTGATTCCGGTCATGAAAGCCTTCGACAATACGTAGCACAGAGTGTTTGTGGACCAGGGTTATCCATAGGAATACCAAGGTGCTTGTTTATAAAGCTATTGTCCTCCCAACCCTGCTATACGCCTGTGAAACGTGGACTGTCTACAGACGTCATATGTAACTCCTGAAACAATTTAATCAGCGCTGCCTGCAAATCTCTTGGGAAGACAAGCAAACAAACGTCAGCGTGCTGGAAGAAGCAAAGACCACCAGCATCGAAGCGATGGTCCTCCGCCATCAACTCTGCTGGACCGGCCACGTTGTCTGGATACCTGACTACCGTCTTCCAAAGCAGTTGCTCTACTCCAAACTCAAGAATGGAAAACAGAATGTTGGTGGGCAGGAAAAGAGATTTAAAGATGGCCTCAAAGCCAACCTTAAAAACTCTGGCATAGACACTGAGAACTGGGAAGCCCTGGCCCTTGAACACTCCAGTTGAAGATCAGCTATGATCAGCAGTGCTGTAGAATTTGAAGAGGCACGAATGGAGAGCAAAAGAGAGAAACGTGCCAAGAGGAAGGCACGTCAAGCCAACCCCAACTGGGACCACCTTCCACCTGGAAACCAATGCCCTCACTGCGTGAGAACATGCAGATCAAGAATAGGGCTCCACAGTCATCTACGGACCCACCGCCAGTACACTGATCCTGGAAGACTGTACTACTCGGACAACAAGGGATTACCTAAGTAAGTTTGGACTTCAACTCCCACAATTCCTAACAGCTGGTAGAGTGAAGAGGGGAAGCCAGGAAGACAGTTCCACCTTGTCTCCTGGGTGATAGTATGATAGCTGGGTCCGGAAGCTCCGAGCATTACGCACATTCTGCAACGGCAGTTGTGAATAAGGGAAGGAACCACATGGCCCAGACTGGGGGTGGAGTGAGAGCGGGGAGAGTGGCACACTGAGGGCGGAAAAATACTTTGTAGTTGCATTTGGTGGAAGGATAAACATGAGGGGTTAGGGTGAGGATAAGGTTTAGGGTAAGCTTTAGAGTAGGTTTAAGGGTTAGGATAAAGGTTAGGGTAAGGTTTAGGGTAAGATTTTGGGTTAGGGTTAGGTTTCGGGTTCAGGTAAGGGTTTTACCATTAGAGAACTTTTACATTCCTTCTATAATATCTGTCTCAGTCACATGGTCTGTTCTCCACTGCGCAAACAGCTCTCCCACAGGAGCAGAGCGGAAACAGTGTAACACTCAGAACCTCCGGACCCAGCTATCATACTATTACCATCTCCTGTGCCATCAGTTGGGGGCTCCACCCCCCAGCAATGCTAATAATATAATATATTGTCTATACATATAATATTGATATAATATCTATACAAATAAAAATGTAATGTTCATTTGTGAGATTAACATAACTCAAAAACCAGTGGACGAATTGACACCAAATTTGGACACAAAACACCTATCAGGCCAACGAGTGACCATCACTCATAAAAACACTGAAAAACACAACGAAAGGGACTTAAAAAGCCACATATAGATACACATATACACACAGAAAACACATATACACAGACTGGGCCACAGCAACACGTGGCAGGGGATGGCTAGTAATGTAATACAATATAGTACTAATAATAATTCAATATAATAATAATTATATATTATATATTACATGTATTATTACTAATAATATTATAGTATAGTGGTATAGTACAATAAAGTAATATATAATGCTAATATTGTGCTATGCTAATCTATATAAATAAAATGTAATATTCGTTTGTGGGATTAACATAACTCAAAACCCACTGGCCAAATTGACACCAAATTTGGACACAATACACCTAACAGGCCAACAAGTGACCATCACTCATAAAAACACTGAAAAACACAGCAGAAGGGGCTTAAAAAGCCAAAAAAGCAAAAAGACACTACAGCACATGTGCAAAAACAACTCCCCCGGCAAACAAAACACACAATATCATATCCACACTTTCTTCCGGACTATGTCTCCCAGCATCACCTAGACCAGGCCCTTTAGAAGAGGAGGATGATCCAAATGCACTGCTTCCAAGATGCAAGCTTTCTTCTCTTTGGATTTCTTTGAGAGCATCACAGTCCCAGCATATTTCCAATTTCCTATTCCTGGACTGCAACTCCCAGCAATCCTCCAGATAGATAGATAGATAGATAGATAGATAGATAGATAGATAGATAGATAAATAGATAGATTAGATAGAGATAAAGCTCAAATCTTAATGAGACAATTCAATTAGGTAAAGGTAAAGGTAGTCCCCTGACATTAAGTCCAGTCATGTCTGACTCTGGGGTGTGGTGCTCATCTCCATTTCTAAGCTGAAGAGCCAGCATTGTCCGTAGACACCACCAAGATAATGTGGCCGGCATGACTGCATGGAGCGCCGTTACCTTCCCGCCGGAGCGGTACCTATTGATCTACTCACATTTGCAT